CATGCGCCACCATGCCCGGCTATCAAGTAGTAGCTAAATATTTTCCATACGAAGATACCAAAGTCCCCTGCCCTGTGTTCCTTGAACACATGCCTTTATCATTGCACTGATCCTGAGAGGGTCGTTGTCTATATTTAGTGCCTCACGATTCTTCAAAGTCTAGGGTCCCGGCAGCTCCTCGGGACATTGTGTTGTTTACCTCCGTATCTGCAGGGCCTTGCACAACTCCTGGCAGACACTCGGGGAGTGAATGAGGAAATGAACAAGTACATGAATGAATGAATGAATCAATGAATGAATGAATGGGTGTCTGGCATCTGAGATTAAGGGCCTGGTGAGGCCCTTCCCTGTCCTTTCCACACAGACCAGCCTGGCAGCCCGAGGGGCTGTGCACTAGGCCAGCGAGTTAACTGCAAACACACACTTGGGGAGTGTAAACAGCCCTCCTCGGGCCAGGGCCGCTGGCAGCTCAAGGGCAGCTTGCACAATCCTGTGGGCTGCTGCGGTTCTCATTTTTGGGGCATGGAGTCATCTCTGCCGTGGGCCTCTCCCTCTTTGCCTTGGATTGTCTCTTGGCAACACAAAAGGAGCTGCGTGTCCGTTGCCAGCAGGAAGAAGTTCAGACCCCCGGCCCCTCCAGGAAGCCCATTCTGACTTAGAGCTGCCCAAGGACCCAAGGAGGTTGGAGCTGAAGGGAGCTTGGGTGTCACCTAGCCCAACCTCTTCGTTTTACAGGTAAAGGACCTGACAACTAAAGAGGTCGGGACACGAGGGCCACTGCAGTGTAACAAAGCCTGGCACAGAGCTGGGTGTCTGGAGATGGCAGCTGGTTTCAGAACCAGCAAAACAGGGCTGTAAATTCTGGCACGGCCAGCTGTCCAGCGTGTGAACGTGGAGTCCGCTTCCTGAGTCTCAGTCCCTCACCTGCATGGCGCCGTGTGCAAGGGTGTTGAGCAGAGCCGCGAGGCTCGGACTGTGAAGTGCCTCGCGTGGTGCCTGGCTCGGACGAGGGCTTCCTTCTCCTGCCTCCTTCCGCCCTTTCTTCCCAAACTCCTTGCCCTCACTGCGCTCCCAAGTCTGAATGCGAAGCACCCCTGCTTCCCACAGAACCTCCACTGCGGGGGACGCGCTTCCCCTAGTGGCTGTGTGGGATGTGATTGCCTCCATCTTCGTTAGGATCTGCCCACTTTCTCTCATGCTTTTTCTGTCCTCACACACCACTTGGTCTGGCAAATTCATTCATTCATGTTTTTCTTTCTCACTCCCTTCCTATGGACCTTCCCAGGCCCCTGCTGTCTGCCAGACACCTGCTAGGCAGAGATGCTCACGGCCAGCTGCCCCTGAGATGCTCGTCTGCTCCTTGAGAGGGTTTTGCGAGCAATGACGGCACAGGGGAGGAAGGATGGGCAGCAGAGGCAGTGCTGTGTCCTCAAAATCCTGGGCTCTCTCTCTCCTTCCTGGAACACTGTGCCAGGCAGAATAATGTCCTGCCCCAAGATGGTGTCGTAGTTTAGGCTGCTATAACAGAGTACCAGAGACTGGGTGACTTAAACAGCAGACATTTATTTCTCACATCCTGGAGCCTGGCAGTCTGAGGTCAGGGTGCAGGATGGTCGGGTTCTGGTGAGGGCTCCCTGCCTGGCTTACAGACGGCTGCCTGCTTGCTGTGCCCCCATGGAGGGCAGCAGGGCGCTATGGCAGACTCTCCTTTCTTTTCTTCAAGGGTGCTATCCATCACGAGGGCTACCCAAGGCCCCACCTCCTGCTACCACCTCTGTGGGGGTTAGGGTTTCAACATAAGAATTTGAGGAGACACAAACATTGAGTCCATAACAGATGGCCATGTCCCACTCCCCCAAACCTGTGAATGTGACCTTACATGGCAAAAGGAACTTCAAAGATATGATAAAGCTAAGGATCTCACGAGGGAGAGGTTACCCTGGACTACCTGGGTGGACACGGGTCCTCATAAGAGGAAGGCGGGAAGTCACAGAGGGCAGAAGATGCTATTCTGAGGCTTTAAAGGTGGAAGAAAAGGAGGGGCAGTGAGCCAAAGAGCGTGGACACCCCATGAGCCCTCAGAAGGAACCAGCTCTGCTGATGCCTTGATTTTAGCCCCACGAGACTCATTTCAGACTTCTGGCTTCTGAGCATAGAGTGGGAACACAGGAGACTGCGAACACAGGGACTGCGCCTCCCAGCGCCTTGCAGTTGGTGGTACCACGTGACTGATTCTGACCAATGAAACGTGAGTGCGGGTGACACACTTCCCTTCCGCCTGAGGCTTCACCTTCTGCCCTCTCTCCCCCTGCCACAGCCGCTGAGGGCATGCTAGCCAGCGAGGGTACGAGACAGCGGGCTGATGGTAGCCTGTGTCCCTGAGTGCCTGTGTGGAGCAGAGCCCCCACCTGACTGCCGAAACCACTAGGAACACACAGCAACATAACCGAGGCTCTCCTGACCGCGGGGATTCTGATCCTCTTGCTTTGCAGAGGAGGTGACAACCAAGCCCTGAGAACCCAATCAGGCACTCTAGGGAAAGTCTGCACAAACAAAAGCATAGAGTGGTTGGGGTCTGTCTGGGTGGTCCACGGGTGCATGTGGGGTGGTGTGGGAGTGGAGGCTGTCCGCAGAGGCCAGGGCAAATGGGGAGCCCTGGACTGACTGCAAGCCCCCCTGGCCACACTCTCTCTCCTCTGGCTATGCTCCTCTGAGTCTGTCCTCCTTTCCGACCGTGTAGTGCTCACATGTGAATGCAGGGCACATGTGTGTACACATGCATGTATGTGGCTGAGACCACTGTGTGCACAGGTACCTATGTACACACCTCTTTATGTGCCTCTCTGGGTGTACGTGTATCTCTGGGTTATCTCTGGGTCTAGCTCTAGCTCTACGGAGGTCTGGGACAAACTCAAGTGTCAGGATCGAGTGGGTGTCTAGTGTTGGCGGGTTGGACAGAGTGAGCACAAGACAAGCAAACGGGAGGGGTGGTGTGGGTGAGGGTATGAGCGTGAACAGAGACATAGTGCCAATCATGAGGGACGCCAGAGGACACACTGGTAGCTGCTGAGGTGAGTCCTGACCTCCTGAGGCCCAGCTTTGGCGCCGTGCAGTGATTCATTAACCTGTAATTGCTGTGTGAGGGTGGCTCTTTCTCCAGGGACAGGCGTGAACCATGTCAGTCTCAGCAGGTTGGCACGATGTGTTTATTGCCCACATCACCCACTGTTTTGTTACCTGAAATACATCTAATTCCTATTAATAACAAGCACTGTAAGGCATAAATCTCATCATTAGCATTAAATGGCTTTATTGCAGGATACAGAGGAGCTGCCTGTGATGTACGACCCAGCAGCTGGAGTGAGCGCCCTCAGAAAGCAGGCATTCACGCACATATATGTGCACACACGTGCATGCACATGCACACGAGCACACACATATGCACATGTGCACACACATGCATGCACACAGGCACACACACGCACACGAGCTCTCTCCTGTTCATGTGGGCATGGTGTAGTGAGTGTGGGCCACAGGCAGATGTGTTTTCTTGCACATTTACAGCAGCTTGTGGAGCTAATCGTGTTTGCTTGGCCTACCAGTGGGGTGCCGGAAGGGCTGCTGTGCCCCCCGTTGTGTGGTACTCTCAACCCGAGGTAGGAACTTGTTTTCCTGAGAGTCTACTACAGGTTGGTTGCACAACTAACGACCTTCAAGGCTATTACCCTAAGGAACCCCAAACCCCCTCTGTGTGTGGTGGTTGCAATCCTCATTTTACATGTGAGGAAACTGAGGCTCCCAGGACCCAGAGGACCTGCCGCGGCACGCAGCGGAGCTGCTGTTTCAGTGCAGCTGGCCTGGCTCTTCGCGCTCTCTCCTGCCCCGCTGCACCTTCTGCAGGCACTCGCCGCCTTGGCTTTCCCAGTAGGTAGGGCCAGCTCTTCCCTTCCTCCCTGCCAACCTCACAGGGCGCCTTGGGACCACGTGAGATGGTGTATTGGCTACCGGAGGCTGCAGGAAGCATGATGCCTGGGCTGCCTGAGTGGTTTTGTATTGTTGTTTGAGAGCTTTATGACCAAGATTACTCATTCTTTTTCCTTTTTTGTTTTGCAATAACCTTGTGTCTTTCACTAATGGCCGTGAGAGTCTCCCCGTGCCCATTAGTAAGAGGTGACGTCAGAGCCCGGTTGGGTGAGCGGTCTGGGGGCTTGGTGGAGCTGCTCTTCTCCTGCCCCCGAGTGCACACACTGTCTTTGCAAAAACAACTCCCTATTTGGCAAAGGGCAGTGTTTGCCCTGGGACAGGGCCTTTTGCAGCCCATGCCAGGCCCTGTTTATTCTGGCATGAACCCTGTGATGGCCAAGCGCTCTGAGTTTGTTGAACTTCCTGGATTCTTATCACACAGACTGCCCTGCCAGGGAGCAGGTGAAATGCTGTTATGTACCCGAGAGACGATATTTAGGAGGGCTGCAAACACCACCTCCCAGGGCTGCCTTCCCCCACTCCCAGGAGCAGGCAGCACTGAAGGCACAGGACAGACAGATGGAGATAGCCCTCCCTCTCCTGAACCCGGCCTGGGGCTCTGCTCCCCACTGCCAGGCTCCTACTCCCGAATTCTAGGCTCCGGCCAGGTTGGTGTCCCCGCGTTTTCTGTAGTGTAGCTCAGGCTGTCCGGCTTCCACGCCTTTGCCCAGGCCCTGCCCTGCGTTTGGAAGCTTCTTCCTCCATCTCCAGCTGAAATCCTGCTTGCTTCATAGAATAAGTGAGACAGAATGAGTTTTGAGGGTGGGACTGTATAGGTGACAGACTGTGCCCCTCCTGCCAGGTTCCCCTGTGCATTTCCCTGCTCGTGTCCTGGGGTGCCAGAGTGAGCCCTCAGGAGTCCTCACAGAGGGACCGGGTGCTTGTCTCTGCGCGTCAGGAAGTCAGGGGGCTGGGGTGGTGGTTTCGGGGTGTGAGTGGGTGTAGGGGAGGGGTGGGAAAACTCTTGGTGGCAAAACCCTAGTTTCCACTCTTCCAGCTCTGTGGCCGTAGGCAGTGGCCCCAATTCCTTTGCTTGAGTAGAATGAGCAGAAAGAGTATCATGGCAGCACTTTCGTTGGGAGGCTTGTACAAAGTGATAGCTCATGAAGCACCTCAAATGTGGCAGGTATATTTTATCAATCCTTTTGTCACTCCAAGGAGACTTCAGAAAAATGGTTGGCCTCTAATGGCCTTTGCTCTGCAATTGTTCCTAGTAGGATGGACTGCCTACAGGGGTGTCACAACAAACCTATGCCTTGCTATTGTTTATCCTCTCTGCAGACGAGGGACTCAGTGAGGTAAGACCAGTGGCCCAGGGTCACAGAGCTGATGGGGGGCAGAGCAAGGGTGCAGCCCAAGACTTCTCTGTCCTCCCTGCAGGCCACAGGCAGGGCCTCCTCTCGCCGACCAGCAGCTCTGCCGTCTGCCCGGCCCTCCTGTGTCTGGGAGTGGGGCAGGAGAGGCAGCGATTAATGCAAAGCGAGCCCAGGGGTGTCTCAGGGTCCTTGGCCAGATGCCCCTCTCTCCCATGCACCCTAAGCTCCTGTCATTGCTCATGTTCCTGCAGTGTTTGGGAAGACCCCTGTCATACTGCAGTCACCATCCGCCCCCAGAGGCAGGGCACAGCCATGGACACACTCACACCTGGTATATTAGGGATGGAGTCCTAGGCCAGGGACTTGTCATCAAAATAAGAAAAGACAAGCAAAAGAAGAGCAGAGGGAGGGGACGATGATCAGTGGAGTCCCTACTATGCAAAGACATGCTGGGGATTCTTTGAGTGCTGTTTCATTTGGTTCCCTCAACAACCTTGTGGGAAAGGCACGATTTGATCCCCGTTTTACAGAAGGGGGAATGAGGCACAGAGGCAGTAGGTGCTTTGCCCAAAGCCACACAGATCACATGACAGAGTGGAGGTTCAACCAAGACCTGTGACGGTTTTCTAATTTTGTCAGGGCACAGTTTTCTAGACTGGGAACATGCTTGCAGAGAGGGATTTGTCATCAGGCAGAGCCAGAGGGGAAGTTCAGAGAAAGACGAGCTGTTGTTCTCATGAGTCAGGGGCCTTCAGCTCCAGGCCAGCAGCCAGCCTGGCCCTGGCAGCTCCTGCTGCCCACCTGGCATGGCCAGAGGCCTGAAGGTGCTCAGCGCGCTTAGTCATCCCAGGTGAGTGGCAAGCAGGCGCCCATCACAGGTTTGCCCTCCCCCCCCCCCAGTGCTTCTGGTGGGAAAACAACCTCCAGCCCCAAGCCTCAGTGCCCAGGGTCATTACTCACTTCCTTCCTGGGACCCACAGTCCCCGGGAGTAGGGGCTGCTCTGTGGGTGCTGCAGGCCGTGCGTCTACAGTGGGGGGTCGGGTGGGGCTGGGCAGCACTGCACCACTCCCATCCCCTCGCTAGCCCCCATGGGGACCCAGGCGTCCTGGGACCTCAGGCTGGGCACGGGGCACCTCCCTCAAGAATGTTCATTAGACAAGAATAATTGTCTAATGAACAAAATAATTTACCCAGAGCTTGGACGCAGGTACATTTCTTCCCAGCCTTCCATGTACACGTTTGATGGTCTTGCCTAGTTACCGTGGACAGAACGGCCCCACGTCCCTGACAGCACTCACTCCCCTGCACCAGCCTTCCGAAGGCGGCAGTATTACCTCTTTGACTTCGCACAAAGCGAAGCTCCCAGAGGTCGACAAGCTGAGACTACACGCGGTGAGAAGATGGCAGAGAAGGTCTTCAGCTTGACCCTGACTGCAGAGCCGAAGTCCTGCACGCACGCTTGTGAGTCCGGGCTTTGTACCCAATGTCTCATCAGAAGTATTTCCCTAGGATCAGAAATTTTGTGTAAACATCAGGATTAGCACATTATTCTGTGGAGTGACAGCACCACATATGTGACACTCTTTCTTCAGAGCTGGACACTCAGTCATTTCTAATTTCTTGCCATTATAAACATGCCACGATGAACTGTTCTGGCTACAAATGTGTATTTCATGTTACTTCCTTCAGGTAGAGGAAGGCAAATGTGAGGTCAGAGGGTGGGGACACTTTGATAAGCCCTGTATAGGTACCTGATTTCACCTGCTGAGCAAGGGTGGCCACACTGAGGCCCCCAGGCACAGAGAAGAAGGTGGCTTCAGAGGACTTGCCTGGCCCAGTGTGCAGCCCGGTTCTGAGGCTGAACACACAGCTGAGCTCTACCTGCCGAGCAGGTGTGCTGCCATCCGACAAGCCTCTGGCCTGTTTGAAGGCGAGTCTCAGAGAGGAAAAGTCACTTACCCAAGGTCACAGCTCTGGGGTCAGAACCCACGAAACACACCATCTCACGCAGGCGTTGCAAAGCACCTGCCACTAATTCTTTGGAAGTTCCAGTAGACTTCCCTCTCGGGCTCGGGGGTGGGAGTGCCGGCTTACTTCCTACAGCACTTGGGGAGATTTCCACCAAGGGTGGGTTTGGGTGGCCCCCACCTCCAGCTGGCCTCCCTCTGAACCACAGGTAGATGGCTGACTTCTGCCTGTCACCCCCCGCTGGGCTGGTGCAGTAGCCTCTGCTGGCTGCTCCTGTGCCCACTCTTGCTCTAGTCTCCACTGAGCAAGCGGAGTGGCCACTAAAAACCATATCCCACCTGCCACTCCCATCCCCGCCCTCCGAGGGCTCCCTGGCTGGGTGTGGACAAAAACTCATCTGAAAATGTACTGAGCCCGCCACGATCCAGCAGGGCTGGATTCAGCCCTGCCTGCGCCAGGTGCCGAGCTAGGCACTGTGGCAGCGGTCAGCCGGACACAGACCCTGGAAGGAAAGCCAGTTTCCTCAGCTTGACCACTAGGCTGCCTCTGTGCCCTGCTGTGGCCCACTGGGGTCCAGCTCTCAGCCTCCTGCAGCACTGGGACGGGCCAAGCTCCCTCCCACGGGCTCTGCTGCTTCCGCAGCCCAAATGCTCTTTCCCTCCCTCCCCAGGCCCGCCGCACCCCCAGGCGTGCTCACTCTTGTATTGTCCTGGCAAACGCCCCCCCAGACACACCCCACAGCGTCCTGGGAGAATCCCCAGGTCAGGCATTTTAGAGGTTTTCAGAGACAGAGCTGGGGGAAGGCACTGACAACCACCCTGATAATTTTTCTGTGTGATAAATGTTTTCATATTTGCTTTAAAAATCCGCTTTTCCTTTCTGCTGAAATGCCCACCCTCCGGTTTCCTCTCGTCACTATTATCGTCAACAGGACAGGACAGGAGGGCGAGGCATGAGTTAAGTCACTTGTGCTGCAATGTGGTACAATGGGGACCTCAGGGGACAGACAGGGATGACCGCTGACACCTGCCCTCTGAAAACTGACTGGCAGCCAGGCTCCAGGATGGGAGAAAAGGAATCAGCCCAACAGAAGAACACTTTTTTACTGATTGAAAGCTATGAATTCCAAATTAATGAAGTTAACGAAAGGATTGCCTGGGTGAGCGTGAGCACGCTGAAGGCCCACTGCGGCTGCTTCTGCAGCAGGCTTGGGCAAGGGCCTACTGTGTGCCAGCCTGTGCCAGGTACGGTGACAGCAGAACATGTATGGTCTCCGTTTGCAAAACTCTGAGGGGCCAGAAGAAGGGCCTAAGACATGCTTGCGCCGGGACACAGCCCTTTGCTGTTAGCTTTCTGCCGAGGAGCTGGGCAGCGCTCTTCTCTGCCCGGGCTGAGACCGGGAACCCCTCCTTTTGGAGGAGCCAGACTTCCCTTGGTTAAGTCACCTCCTCTCTTGCTGAGGGCAGAGCAGAGGCCTCTCTGCCCCTTCCCACCCTGAAACCCTGTGCTAAACCCATAGGAATGCACCGGCATCCTGGCCGTGCAGATGCTGAGCCCCCCAGGCCTGTCTCAGCTGGGACCTCCCATCTGCACCCTGGGGCCAGATATTCCTCATCCATACTCTGGGGCGCAGGACCTGGTTTATCCAGGAAAGGAGGGATCGTTGTGAACAAGTCAGATACACTGCAGGGCCCCTGACCCAGGCTGGGTTTGGGGCAGGAGAGCAGGCTCTGGAGGAAGCTCTGTACAGCAGGCCAAGGGCAGAGAGCTGGAGCCAGCCCCGAAGCCTGTGGCTGGAAAAGGGCTGTGACCACCAGCACAGGCAACAGAAGAACCCATGAGAGCCAGCACCCCCAGGATGAGGTCCTGCTGGAGGAAGAAGGTGTGTAGGGGTGCACGTATGTGTGATGTGGACAGAAAGGACTAGGTTAACACTGTGGACCTGGGAAAGACTGCTCAGGGGTCCTCCCGGCTACACAGGGCCCAGCCACTCGGCTCTGCAGGCCCCACCCAGCTGGGGCGGCGGGGCACCAGCTCTGGGAGTCTGCGACAGGAAGACACATAGTCAGTATTTGTACACTGACAGCCTGGACAGTTTTCTGTCTCCCCCAGGGGGCCAAGGCAGTGTGGTGGGTGCCCCTCTTTTACTGTTAGCAGCAGGGCCCCCTAACTCCAGGGCCACGGGACATGGGTGGCAGTGCCTCCCTGGGACTAGCAGGTGAGACCTGCTCCTGCTTCAAAGGCAGGTGGCAGCGAGCAGTGCTCGGATGGAGTTCCGGGCGCAGGCGGGCGCAGGCGGGCGCCGGGGGCTCTGATGCGCGAGGGGAGAAGACCCGGGGGCAGCCGCGCTGCCTGGGGGTGAAGCGGAGCCTTGGAGCAGGGTCGGGCCGTCTTGGGCGTGTGTCCTGGCGGGGCCGTCCTGGCTGCTCAGGGGAGCAGCTCTGTTCACTGGGCAGATAGATATTCAGTGAGCTCTAGCTAGATCTCACTTCTGTCCCGGGGAGGCATTGTTGTTAGAGGCAAGGACCCTCAAAGACCCTCAACTCCCCTATGACTCGTCCTACGCACAGACTTCGCCCTAGAAAATTCCAGCTATAGCTCCGAGAAGAATGCAGTCCATGACGTGCTGACCACGGGATGCTCCAGGGAGTGCTGACTGCAATTGTTCCCAACCACCTGCCAGGTTAGAGATGAGTAACCAGTCAAAAACAGGATACCGATAAGACGCTGATTGGGGCTGATTAACCCAGACTCAAGCCTCATCGTCGCCCCACTCTATTTTTTGTTTCTACTTCCTTGTTTCTGTATGCTTATAAAACCTACTAAGAATCTAAGTAAAGCAGACCTTGACAACCATTTTCTTGGTCTCGTTCCTTTCTCTCGCCCATCTCTTTCAGGCAAGGTCCCCCTTGACCCCCGCGAGTAACAGAAGGTCCCGCGGGTCGAGACACATTGTGAGGCTTAAAGGAGCGACATGATGGCAGCCCCTGGCCAGGGCCGGGAACTGGGAGGGCCTCGGTGCATGTCTGCCCATGACACCGTGCTGCCTGCCATAACTGTGGCCCTGTGTGGGCTGCTCAAGAGGGGACTGAAGACTGGGTCTCGCCGCATGTCCCTCTCCTCTCCTTGGGCCCATCCTGGTGACAGAACTGACAGATGTGAGCTACGATGGGAGGGACCAGGAGCACAGCGCCAGAGTCTCTCAGTGGCCTTCCTCCTGTCGGTTTCTGATTCCACCGTCTCTTGAGTTGCAGCCGACTTGGCAGGCAAAGGGCCCTTGTCGGAGAATGTCAAAATTGCAAACAACTTTAATTGTCTTCCAGCCCGTGTCGCCTTTGCCCCCACTGCGTTGGACACTGGAGTTCTTTCTCCTGCGCTTCCACCGTGGGACGGCCTGCACTCAACGCCTCCAAGGACAGGGAGTTCACTGCCCCTAAGCACCAGGGGAGGCCTGTGCTTCCCGTCTCTGAGTTCAGTCCGCGAGGGGGGTAGTCCCATAGGGCGGCTGTCTCGAAGGCCAAGTGTGCAGCAAGGAAAGGCGGGGGCGAGTGAGAAGCCTGCGGTGCCCTGGGAGGGGCTGTGGAAGCTGAGGCGGTGCTCAGAGTTAAACCTTGGGATGGCACTCGCCTCACCAGCTTGGAGGGCAGCACGGGTGGGACCGACGGACACAGATGGCCTGCTGCCTGGGTCACCATGATGCGACTGTTTCGGGACCAGGGAACGGGGGGAGTGGTGTGGGCTGACTCGCTATAGCCCCCAGCACAGCACGTGTCTGCACATGCTCACGGAACACACTCGGACACGTGTGGGCCACGCGGGAGGCCATAGGACAAACTGCAATGTCTACCATGCAGAAAAGGCCCAAGGGATCGATAAATCCAGAGCTATTATGCTCCACCTGTGTACTAGTCTCCACGAGCATTTGTCCCAGACCCTGGGCCTCACCCAGCAGCGCCCAGGTGAGACTGGGTGGCCTGAGCAGCCAGGCGTCCCCTCGCCTCTGCAGTCTCGGTGAGTAATGCAGGGAGTGAATTCAGCTTCAACAAACAAGCGACTGACCGACCTTAAAAGCAGCGAGGTAAACAGGACCCCAGACAAGGAACCTCCTCCTGCTCTGCTAGAGGCGTTCAGCTGGGCCTGCGGCAGGGAGGGGCAGTTAAGCACTTCTTGTTTACCGTTCTGCCTGACCTTCCGTGCGCAAATCCAGCAGGCTATGGGCCAGGGGTTCGGGGCAACCAGATTGGTACAGTGGCTGCCAGGCTGGGCTCTGCTAATGGTTTCAAAGACTTTTTTGAGGTCAGCGATGCTCTGCTGGGCTGGCGAGCTGCTGCTGGCCCCAGATGTACCAAGAGCACACACAAATCACATCTGCCATTCAGGATGGGAGTTTAGATCCCCAAATCACCTTCAAATAACAGGTGGTGCCCCTCCCTCCCTTCGGCTCTGCCTCTGTCTCAGGCCCTCCGCAGGCCACGTGGTAAGTGCAGGCCTCATCCTCGGCAGCGTGAACTGCATTCAAACGGAGGCTCCTTGACCAGCTGCTTGCTACTGGGCAAGATTTCTCATAGCCCCTCCAAGCGCTTATTTCTGTGATTGCAAACGGGAATAATAAAAATGTGGTAGGCTGTTAGGGGAAGCAAATGTGTTAACACATGTGAGCCCCCACTCAACCCGGGTCTCCACTGGCACTCCAGTAGTGTTGGTGCCAGCCTCTGGCCCAGGATGGCTTATGGGAACACTTCACTGGCACCCTGAGTGGCAGCAGTGCCCCCAGCCCTGGACCATGGCAGAGGTCCGAAGGCCCACTGTGTCAGGCCAGACCACCCCCAGCCATGTGATTCCATTCCACTCCTAAAGGGCCCTCTGCCCGCACCGCACAGAGCCGGCCCCCGACAGCCCCATGCCCCACCGCATGGCTGTCCCTGAGAACACGCGGTGCTCCGGCAGCTGGGGGCTCCTGGGGTTTGGGAACAGGCCTGGGCCATGAGAGCATGTCCACACCCCTTGGGCTCTGTACCTGCTGGGGCAGGACATCAGGACACACCTGACCAGGGGAGATAAGTGCCCTGGTTCAATTCATGTCAGCCTGACCAAGAATTCTCACACATGTTTTCCCAGGGCTCAGAGGAGCCAGAGGAAGAGTGAGTGGAGCCCACTTTGATTTCTAATCTCATGAGAGAGACCCGTTCAGTACACACAAAGCAGTTAGAGAACAAGGTAACATTCTATTTCCAACTGCATGTGCACGAGAGGGACAAGCCACAGCTCTGCCTTTACTTAGCCAGCGAAGAGCCGCGGTAGCCCGGTGGCTTTCACATCTTATTCCCCAGGCTTCAGTGGGGTGGGCGTCAAGGGAGACAGATGGACCCAGTGGCAAGAACAGGACCCCCCCAACTGCACGAGATGTCAACCAGAATGCAGGGGCTGTTGTGATTCCTTTATTGGGATATTACGTTTAATTTTATTGGGGAAAAATTGTGGAAACCCCTAGATTAATTGAGCTCTGAAGTCTCTGAGTCTGGAATTCTTATCAGAGAAGTAGCATCGAATGTGCTTTGAACACAAGGAAATTTAACTATACAGGACCAAGAGAGAGAGCAGTCTGCCTGCTGCACAGGGGCTCGTTCTTCCACGTCTCTGTCCGTCCCGCATGCTCCTCCAGGGGGGCGTCTCCAGGCAGCCTGCCTGTGTCTCTGCATCTGAGCACGTTCTCCATGTCCCTGGTCCCCAGCCGCAAGCCACCGCTTTACCTGCTGATCCACGAAAGACAGCAATGAGCTCTTCTGCTGGAGTCAGGGTGGAGGGAGGGTGCACCTGGGGTCACTTGCCCAAGTTCTCAGGCCCCTTCTGGCTCACGGTCATCTTTATTTCTTCTGCTTCGTTGTGTCAAGGCACAGCAAAAGACAGTACGGTGATATGACTGTATAAAATCCGTGGTCACAATTACATCGTTAACAGGGATTGTCAAACCGCATTTATCAACTGTGGGCATTTGATAAATTCAGGCACGCACCCTCTCTTTGTCCCCACAGGTGTGGCATTGCTGAGAAAATGAGAGCACTGTTTACTAAATGAACGTCTTGCCAGCCTTGGGCTCTTCAATGCCTTGTCATCATCTCAGCCGTCTTCAAAGGAAGCCACAAGGCAGGCCCTTTTTACATGAGGGAACTGAGGCTCAGAGAGGGTAAG